TCTTTATAAGTATTCAATGGCTTATTAGAACTTGTTTGTTTTTCAAACATGGCCTGTTGAGCCATCTGGGATACTAGAAATCGTGTCATGGATAGTTGGGGAGAAAGCTGTGTGTCTCATTCGATAAAGAACACTATGTGCTTTAGATATGAATAATTTCTTATTTTATATATTCATATTTAATTTTTAATACATATTTTCAGTTCACTCATGCTCAGGATTTAGAAATACAGTAATGACAGCTAAAATTAGGTCTTTGCCTGTTCATGAAAGCAATTCTAAATGTGCAGATTTCTGTCCTGTAATATCTTGGATTACCATTGGACTGCAAAGGAGAAAATGAGTTTATTTTTTGAATAACATCTCTATCTATTAATGTCATGTTGGCTCAACAAGCCAGAGTTTTTCTTCTAAATATCTTGCCTTCTGCTTAGTTTTAAAAGGTTATATTGACCTTCTTTGGAACAAAAAAAAAGGCAATATATATATAAGCTAAGTGCAGACATCTGGGGAGGTTTGGGGGAGGTTAGTTTGTATTAAAAATGACCACCTGATCTAAGGTATTTCTGGATGTCGGGGATGGGATGAAAGGGGACAAGCAGGGTTGGGGGGATTGGGCATCTCTGGGAAGGATGGAGGGGCAGCTGGCATCTGTGGGAGTGATTGGGTGGGCAGGGCAGGTGGAATCCATTGGAGGGGATCGTGGGGGTTGTGGGGAATAGGCGGCATCCACTGAGGGATAGGAAGCAGTGTTATCTGCTGGAGGGATGGGAGACAGGTCGGATCTGTGGGGGGTTGCTGGGATCCGGGAGGGTTTGATGGGGTCAAAAGGGCTCATGGGGGGGCGTGGGTGGGACCAGTGCCTATTTTTAGCCCCCAACTCACTTGGCGAATCTATACACCCCTCTGTCCTGCCCCTCCCCCCACTGGTACTTACTTGGTCAACTCCCAGCAGTGGCAAACGCTGATAAATCCAGCGCTCAGAGTGGTTTGTGGAATGAGGGTTGGCAGAGTCTGGATGGTCTGCAGGGTGGAGGCAGTGAGGAGCTGGAGCTAGAGGGTTGAGCACAAAAAATGCAGTCCCGGGGGTGGAGCCAGGGGCTGGGCTTTCACAGCCCCTAGGGCTGTGCAGGTGTGGCAGCCAACTGTACAGAAGTGCCATGCACCAGTCTAACCAAGATCAATTAAGCTTGGGCATACATTGATCCACATCTATCTTAGACTGAGTTCTGCCATCCTTAGACTGTCTGTGTATGTGAAACTTTGGTACAGCTATGGGTTTATACTGATTTGCAATCACTGAGACTGGATCTAAGTGCAAGGTCCACACCTGGGCAAATTAAGTTATATATGGTGGCCATTTTTTACCTAATCTAACCTCCCCCTAACCCCACCAAACGTCTGCATTCAGCCATAGAGACTCAGTTGTCTCTGTTTTGATTACTGAACATACATATCTTCTTGGTTTTGCATTTGGTTTTTAGGGGGGAAAACTGAAATGACCAAAAATAAAGTTTAGTTTTTACTGCACTAAAATTTTATAGTAGCCAAAGGATCTATTTGGGATTCAGTGCCCCCCAATTAGAACACCCCCACTCCTCCATCCCAATACCTTACTAAGGTAAACATTTATAGGGTATTTGCCTGACTTCATTTCTTTGGGCCTTTTTGGTCCATCCTTGCTAATCTAGATGAATATCTATAGTGAATAACTACTCTATGGGCACATCTGAACAGGCTGTTAATGCAGCTGAATACACTCTGGAACAGTTTGCACCAGAGTTTATTGCTCCTAGGCACTGCATTTGCATGTGCACCCAGGACCACCATGTGTTGAGCCAAGATGGAGTAGCCATGGCTGACAGTGAGCCCAGGGGTCAGTCTGTCAGCCCAGGACTGCTCTGACCTAGCTCAACATGCCACAGAGCTGCTGGCTGTAGCATGAGAATTCTTCAGTGCAAGGCTAGCCAGCAGGCAGTCCTGCACTGAAACACCCTCATGCCCCATCAGCATCCACATGTGTGTTGTGGTGGAGTAAATAACTCCACCATAGGATAGTACTTGAGGATGCATCTACATGAGACATTTATTATGGAGTTGCCTAATTAGCTCCACAGTAAAGTCTCATGGTCTCCCTGTACGGCTCTATTAGGCCACAGTAAGCTACTAAATGCTGCCATAGGTTAGTACTTGTCAACACAAGTACTATGCCGGAGTTTTGTTTGGTGCAGAACAACGCAACATAGATGCTGACAGGGCTGGCTGGGTACTTCATTATGGGGGCTGCCTGCCAGCTAGTCTCACACCGGAGCACCCTCATGCCCAGCCAGCCCCTGTGCAGCATGTTGAACTGGGTCAGAGCAGCCTCAGACTGGCAGGCTGATTCCCTGGATCCCCTACCAGCCACAGCTGCTTTGACCCAGCTCACCATGCTATAGTTCCAGGCACATGTGTAAACGCAGTGCCTGGGAGCAGTAAACTCTAGCATGAACTGCACCAGAGTTTATTCAGTCACATTAATAACGTGTAGATGCACCCTGTGCCTGGTACTGCTATCCTATGGTGGAGTTAATTAGTTTACTCAGTCATAATAGCACCACATGTATAGACAGTGACATTTTACTGTGGAACTAACTAGTCGGCTCTGCAGTAAATGCCTCATGTATATATGCCCTATGTGACTGATTCTGTTTTAAAATGTGTCCTCTCTTCCTCTTCTCCCCCACTCTCTTTAAAACATCTACTGAGATAGACACCTTGTCTTTACATTACCTGGTTATCTGCTTTATTATTATCACAGTATATAACGCCAAGTTTTGCAGTCAGTACATGAAATGACATTGTCTGCCCTAGAGAGATTACAATATAAGACAAGAAACAATAGAATACAGATAGACCACAACAGAAATCTGAAGAAACAATGGGACGATTCTGGTCAACATGATAGTAGTAGTTTTGATAAAGTCAGATATTGTCAGGCATTTTCTAGACATCAAGGCAGAGGAAAATGTAAGGAATTATGAGAAGTAACATAAAAGGGGGCTTTGCACATGTTTATAGAAAGGTACTTCCAGTGTGAGGGGCAGAATAGAAGTTCAAAGATTTTTATGTGAAACTTAACAAATGGGCAGTGGCAACTGCCATCACAGGTCTACCAGATCAGGGAATCCACTACTTCATAGTGAATTAGAGATGATGAGGAAGGAGGAGATAGGCATGAAGGCTTTATACCTGGACACTTCATGTTGGACTATGTTTTAATGTCTTGTTCTTTTTTCCTCTCAACTGCTTACCTGAAAGCTTAATGGCATTAATAAAAAAAAATTGCCATTTTTTTCCCTTGGCCTTCTCAAAAGAGTTTAATCAGAGAGAAGGTAACTGGTTGTTGCTTCAGACAACATTTCATTATTCTCTATTGATTGTTTTTGACACCCCTAGACATAATACTGCACTACCAATGCAATTAGAAATAATGCCTGTCTCCAGGATAACTGTCATACACAATCACACACAGAACACAAGATTAAATTATCCAAAAGTCATATATAGTACCAAGTGCAATTTATATCTGATGATACTGTCATAGACTCCCAAGAGTAGTTGATGTGAATTTTTACCAAAAAGAGAGACTTCTAAAAATGTCTGCTCTTATAGCAGTAAACCATATAGGAAACCTACATTTTCAAAAATCACTTAAAATCTTGGTTAGTGCATTAACGTTAAGTTATACAATGCACATGCTGAAAAAGTATCCAAGGCATATAGTTCTGAGACCACACTTATTGATATGACCATACACAAGAAGAGTTTTGGGCTCTTTTTCAGATTTGTTTAAGTGTTAAAATGACATACTGCCAGACAAAAACAGAGTCAGGGAAAGTGGAAATCTTGTGGTTTTCTAGTAAAAGAAAAATGGTAAGGTTAATGTTTAAACTGCTAAGGTAAAGTGACTAAGAAAAAGGAAACAGCAAACTTTGTATCGTCTTAGACCTCTCTGTATCACCTCCATGCAGAGTTCCTATTGACTTTCAGAATGATAGCTATTTACACTGTGTAAGTTAAACACTTGTTGGCTGCTTTCCTACCCATTAAAGACTTTGAGAAGATTCAGAAAAAAAATTTCATTTTGTGCTTGTTTGTAAAACAGTGTCTACCTTCCCTTTAACTTTAATGAGAAAATAATTAGATTGTCATTGTGCATTTTTGAAAATCTATGACACAATATGTATGTGTTTGTGAGAGAGAGAGAGAGCTGTCTTCCCTTTGAATACAGAAATAATATAATCTGCAGTTTGAGTTACCCACACTTAGGTTACTGAATATCAAAATATCCTTGACTTTAAGGAAACGTTAAAGTAAGCAATTTTAATGTTATCGCACCTAGTTTCATCAATAAACCTTGACCATCGCTGTGCTAATATTAGGCTTATTCCCAAAATTTTGAAGTAGAGTATCAGACAGGGTATAGAGCAATAATTCTCAGCCCTGGAGTGCCACCAGATCCTTTGAAGGATGCTGTGAGGTGTGTGGAAATAAACAGATAACTACAGGCTCTGGCTTGTCTCTGCCTGGCTGATCCCAGACCCCACTGCCCAGCCCCTCTTCAAGAATATAAGCAATGTAATATATACATTAATATTTTGAAATTGGGTATCATTCAAGTCACAAAAATTATGGAGGGGTGCCTTGAGTCCAGTGCAGGGTGCCTTGAGTCCATAAGGGTTGAGAACAACTGATATAGAAGTATAAATACAAAACTATAATACATATTCTCTTAGGTTAAGGTCACAGTGGATATAATGTGGTTTTCAAATAAAGGTAAAATCTCATTGCATTGCATTAGATAAAGACTTAATACACATCAGCTTTGCATTTGTATTTTCCATTCCATATCTAGGGTAGGTAAATTTGAATGTAATTAAATGGCTATTAATTAACAATGTTTGGGGTTTTTTTTACCTATTTAACTTTCTTTCTTTTTCCTTTTTTTTTTGGCCCAGCTTCAGATGAAGAGGAACCAACTTCCACAGGTAAGAATGCCTTATGATTTACATTTTCATTACATTAACGATATTTAATGCCTTTGTGTTTTAATGTTAATATGCCATGGCATTTAAGGGCAGTACCAGTCATTCTCAGTGCTGTATTTTCCTTTTTGCTAATTCATTGGGTGATATTGGAGGCATGAGTATCATCTACAAAGAGTTATTTACCAATTTAAACTGATTGCCAGTAATTCAAGGTAGTCAATAAGATAGTTGTAAATTTCAATATCTAATTTCAAGTTAGTAGAGCAAATTAGAAAACCATCAATTTTTAAACACCTGGGGTAGGAAGGGTTGATCACTAGCAGGCAACATGTATTTGTTAAGAATAAATTATTTCAAACCAACTTAATTTAATTCATTAACAGGGTAACTAGATTGGTGGATGAAGTGCACCTGAAAGTCATATTTTCTTGGACTTATTAAGGCTTTGATATGGTCCCAGATAATATTCTCATAAATAAACTGGAGAAATGTGGTATACACAAAATTATTGTTACATAATACATAATTGAATGTATAATCATAAGCAGAGAGTAATTATAAATGGAACGATGTCAGAATGGCGAGAGTGTTCAAGAGAGGTTCCACTGTTCAGACCCAGTGCTCTTTAACATTGTAATGATTTGGATGCCAGAGAGAGTTTTCTAATCTTAGTTCTTAGGTGATACAAAAATGGCAGGAGTTGTACACACTTTGGAGGTTAGTATTAACATTCAAAAAGATCCTATAAATAGGATTTAGTTCTAGACAACAGAATAAAACTAAAATATAAGATGCTATACTGAAGAATTAAAAATAAATTCAGAAATTCAACTTCAAGATTATATAATGATGATATATATAATATAGTTTTAACATATGTGTATTACACATATAAGGAATGAAGACCTACTTAGTCCTTTAAGGGAATAGTTGTAGGAGAGAGTTCTGGGCTGTATGGATACCAGGTAGATTTAGCCACAACCTTGTGCCCTGAGTCAGATGCTTCCTCTCCACTGCAGAGCAGGATTTTAAGAAGCATTCTTCTATTAAGCATTTTTTATTTATCAATGTCTGTTGGCATCCCATTCAGGTTTTGGAGTGCCTGTGAAGGTACCTAAATCACTTTGTACATTTTATAGGCAGCTTTGGCATCTAACTCAGGATTGTGGGTTCCATTCCATGATCAAGGAACCTAACAGCTAAGCAGTTTAATGCCTAATGTTTAGATACTTGATTCACATAATAGATCTAGTTCTTTGTGCTTTTCCATCACAGATGGTCCTATATCTCCTTTCCATCTCAGAAAGGTCTTAGGATAAATACTTCAAAAGTGTGTGGTGCTCAGATACTATGATAATGATGGTGATATAGGGACTTTGTTACACATTGCACTTTGAGCTGCTCAGCTGTGGATAGTACTAGCTTGAGTTTGGGGCAGTCACACCTTAATGCTAAAAACCTTCTCTGGTTGCTTCCCACCTGCACAGCTGTGATTTATCACTAGAGGGCTGGAGAGCAGGGGCCTGACTAGGATCTACAACTCTGAATTGCCACTACAGGGCTGGTGAGCCAAGACAGTGTTTTATTTCTGCCGTAGGTGGAGGTGTGAGAGAGATGGGTTAGGGATGGGGAGTGGGTAGGAACTTGAAGCTTGGAGGTGGGGAGTTAATGGGATGGGGGTGGGTAATGAAATGGAAGATGGAGAGTAAATGGGGGTGGAGCAAGGGTGGTAAAATGAAGGAAATCAACCACTGAAAGATAAAATAAAAAGAAGTGACCCCCTGCCAGAAAAAAAACCCAACAACAAAAATATTTTTAAAGGAAATAAAGAAGTAAATCAAAGCAGGTGTCATGTTTTAATAAATTGGGATTTGGGATTGGGGTGTAGGGTGGTGCAGGTTATGCTTCCCAGAGTACCTGGGAAGTGGGAGTGATGAGGGAAGGTGCTTTTGGGAAAGCTACTACACATGCCCCAGGAAGGAAGGTCTAGCTCAGGGGGAGCTAATCTGTCCCCCTACCTTGTTCCCACCCCTTCCCTCGACCCTTATTCCTGGATCCATTTATGCCTAGTGAGCTGGCTAGCTGGCATGTGTTCTGCAGATTGTCTGAATGGGGTTGCACCCCTGGGATCAGGAGGGGGAGTTGGCTTGGTGCCAAAACTGTCTCCTGGGTGGGTGGCATAGTTCATACAGAGGAAAGTTTGCCCACACAGAACAGGAGGGTGGGGGAGGAAACATTGTATCCTGAGATGCTGGAGGACTGCAACTTGGGCAGCTCATCTGTGGGGAGTGGCCACACATTAATGGAACAGGAACTAGGTAACACTGATCAGAGATAAACCTGCCCTGGGGTGGCATAACTTTAAGACACCTAAAGTGTGCTTAACACTTGTTTTAGTTGTTAATGTGTGGATAATCCAGGGGTTAAGGGCTCCAGGAGCTGCCCAGAACTAAGGCATAAAGTACAACAAGTTGTAAAGTAGTTAAAATACAAGGGAGAACAGTAAACAAAAACACTGGGAGAGGAAAAGAGAGTAAGAATGGGAAGGATAAATATTGAGTAGAGATGGAAAGTAGGCATGAAACAGCAAAAAGAGGAAATGAGGCACAGGAAGCTATTAGTAGGGAAACTGACTTGAGAACATACTGCGTGACAAAGCAGTAGGATTGGGAAGGAGACAGAGATTAAGGGGAAGAGAAGTATTTGCCGGGGGTAGGGAATTACATTGCTTAAAAACATACTTTAACTTTTCTTAATTTCCATCGATATACGAAAATCTGTCATAGATTAATCTTCCAACATTTAAATTTTGATTAGCATATCTTAATAAAGCTGTAACAGTTTTTCAAAAAACAGTAAATGTCAAAACCAGTCACAGGTAAATCAGTGTTATTTAAATCATGCATGGCTGCTCTATTTTCATATTAAAAATTAGCTGGGGAACCTGGTATATCTTAACCTTTTGCAAGTGACTTTAGCATGCATGCATTTATTCACATGGGGACACAGTAAATTTGGAGACATGTAATTGATAAATACACTCTAGACACCCTCAAATGCACAAGGGTAGTTTGTGAAATTCTCACACTGGTAAGTAGTAAGTAGTAAGTAAGTAGGTAAAAATGCTCTCATTTTTCTTAATAAGAAAGTCACATACATACCACCTTGGAGTGCTTCTAGATCTACTGCCTGAGATTTCATAGCCCTCTCAATCTGTAAAGAATTACTGCTCAGGTTCTTGGGCATACCAGACTTTTAGTTGAATGACACAGAGGAGTATAATTGTTTATTATGAGTGTAATTGTTTAAATTGATGGGGATTTTTTTGGGGGGGGTGGGGGGGATTAACTGCTTGTTAATACTGTGCCCTGCACCAATATTTTGAAATATTTCCTCCAAGTAACTCTGTAGACCTGATTTAATTTGCAGAGAATGCCTTTTGTTTGTGTGATGGAACATCCACAGCAACTCACAATTTCCTTGAATGTATTTGTTATTGATGACTATTTTTGAAAATGGCCATAAATACATTTTGAAATATTTTCCTGTAGGAGTTGATCTTGAATACTTCAAATTCAAATCATGTTTCTTAGGGTTTTGTTTTTTTTATTTTACACACACTATTTTTCTACTATTTATTTACACCACTACAATTAAACCAACATAGTTTATCATATGGATACTGTTATTTAAAATAGATTTGACTTTTTCAGTTGTTCCCAAAAGCTGCTGTTATTCTGAATAAGATTGTACCTACAGGTGGTAGGCTGATCCAGCAGAGTTAATAGATTTTTCCAATTTTCCTATGCAGATAGGCTCTCTGTTCTGGATCAAGGACCCATTATGCTCAATACTGAAAACACAGTGTCTTTGTTCTGTTTTATTTTGTTCTGTGATTTGATTATAAATGCACATACTTCTGGCTCAAGTACTTGTACTTGTATGAGCTATCAGTTTGTGAATTTATACTGGTTGAAATACTTTTTGAAAACAATTGCCTCAGCTGTTCAGAAAGTACTTGTTCAGAGAATGCAAATAAAAACCATCAAATATCTCTTAAAACGTGGATGAATATAATAGAAATGCCATGCATAATTCACTCTGATGCTAGTTCTCAATTACATCAGTGATCAGGATTTTTTTGGTTGTTTTGTTTTTTGATAAAACTGTTTTTCATTGGAAGACTGAGTCATTAAAACTAATTTTTTTACAGAAATATATCAGTTTGGATGAAAGTTTCTCAGGTCCAAGATGGAATTTCTGTTCAACACAACTGTTATTAGGGGATTCGTCTGGGAAGTGGAAGAAAGTATATTCAATTCTCTGTCCTGAATCATACAGAACAGAGCAGAAAAAAGAAACAAAGCAAAATGTACAAACAAATAATCCAAAGCCAAAACCCCCACATCTTTTAAAAGATCTGTTTTAATGTACAATGGGAAAAAACATTGAAATCTTGCCAGATGGCATAATCATTTGTCACCCATCTGTAAATGTCATAATTTAGGTCTCACAAATGCCCCAAATTTGGGGTTGCAACCTAAGTGGTATTAATTTGTGTCACTTTCTTGCAGCAGATCAGCAGATGTCTATTTGCTTTATGGCTGGAGACCCTAGGCAGCACAGAGTGGGTCCTGGCACAGTGCGATGCAGGACCTGGTAAAATGCAGGTACACAGAATGGTGTGGGACCTGATGCAGGCCCTGGTGTGGTGCAACAGCACAGTGCAACGCGGGACCCGCCACAGGTCCCAGCACAGTACAGCACCACAGGACAGTGCAGGATCCAGTTTGGAGCACCAAAGGATATATGTTATCCCTGGGCATGACTCTGAAAAGAAGGAATCCAGAGTTTTCCCACTCGCAGAGGTGTGTCCTGAGTGTTGTCACTTAGAATTGGGCGGCAGGAGCAGCAGGGACTTAACCCCGTGGGACAGTGGGAAATATTTGTTTCACCCTATAAAGTGGATTGTCTGCCTCATCTGTTTTTATCCTTAGAAA